TTGGGTTTTTCAGCATTATGTAAAAGGAGCTTGCTCTATCAGGAGTTAACCCTTGCAAATACATTACTGTTTGGTGGAAGTAGACTTTCGTTTGCAACTCTTTGAGGGTTTACTAGTATGAAGCAGCATTTGATTGCTTTTTGAAACTGCACAAAGTCTGTGAATCTGTGAAATTCCTGAGATTCTAAAATGACAGAATTCCAAATTCTTAGGATGCTTAGGCTCTAATTGGGTGAAGATTTGTAGATGATTACTTTCTTTTTGGGCTTGCTAATGTGAAGAATTAATAAACACGGTATAGACCATGAAGGCTTGTTCTGTGGGTCTATGTATTTCTGTTGTATTGAGGTGAGTCGTCTTGTATATGAAGTTTACTCTGATTTTTTGTGGGTGTTGCACATGAGCTTGTTTTATATGATTGAGAATTCACCATCTTCTATTGGTTTTGTTTATCTTTTTGATGTCTTACACTTGTACTTATTCTGTAGCACGGAAATCGATGGTTCCTTCGGGGAGTCAGATGGAGTGAAGGAAAATGGCTCAAAAAAGAGGTATTTGTCTCTATGTTAAATTGCAAAGTGACAATTGGAGTTAAATTTTTTATGTTTCCACTTTTTCCGAGTCATTTGATATATTTGTGTTGAACCTTCCGGTAGTGGAGATGGTCACCATGTAAGAGACTAAACTCCAATTGTGCTGCTTCGCAAGGATTCCTTGTTATGGTTTCAGTAATAACCTGTGAGCATGATCAATGTTAATGTGGGGCATGTGAGCAGAACGCTGTATATTTTAGTTGATATTGACTGATAATCAGTTCTCTCTGTCATGATTGCCTATCTAAATTTTGTTTCTATTGTTGGTTATTGAAGACTAAAGTCTGGCTGAAATTGGGCTTAGGAAGTGATGATTGTCCAATCCTCATTTGAAATTTGAACCTCGGTTTTTTGTCAGTTTGGTACATATACGTATTTTGACTTGCTCTAGGAGGTTATTGCAGGTGATCGGTTTATGCAGGATTCGTGTTTTTCTAATTTGGAGATGTTTCTGCAGGGTTAGAACTGAATCATGCAGTGCTTCAAGTTCCAAGGCGTGTAGGGAGAAGTTGCGTAGAGATAGACTAAATGACAAGTAAATCTCTCTTCCCCCCGTGTACACTCTTGCATGCATATGCACACACATATTTGTCGTCACAATCACTTGCATACCTTGCCCTCTTGCATAAGCTTTTTGCTGAAAGGAAACAGAACCGTTCCATGCTTTTAATGTAGCGCAATGGTATGACTGGTAGGTTTTTGGAATTGGCATCTATCCTTGAGCCTGGAAAGCCTCCTAAGACAGACAAGGCCGCAATATTGATAGATGTGGTTCGAATGGTGACCCAGTTGCGTGGTGAAGCTCAGAAATTGAAGGACTCAAACAGTAGTCTTCAAGAGAAAATCAAAGAATTGAAAGTGAGTCTTTGATGTTAGCGTTACATAAACATTTGAAGAATTTAATTAAGGCTTGTTTTCCTGCCTTTGCTTAATATGAGTTTTTTAGTTCTATTGATATTTGAAGGCTTTTCTACCTCAATCCCATGAAGTTTGTTGGGCACGGACCATAATTAGAAATGGTTGATTAAAATTATTTGGTGTCTTACAGTTGCCTTTGCATTTTTAGGCTGAGAAAAATGAGCTTCGTGATGAGAAGCAAAGATTAAAAGCAGAGAAAGAGAAGTTGGAACACCAATTGAAGGCCATGAGCACACAACCAAGCTTCTTGCCTCCGCCTCCTGCAATTCCTGCGGCATTTGCCACCCAAGGCCAAGCCCCCGGAAACAAGTTGGTACCTTTCATTGGTTACCCTGGTGTTGCCATGTGGCAATTCATGCCTCCAGCGGCTGTGGATACCTCACAAGATCATGTTCTCCGCCCACCAGTTGCTTAAGTTGGCAACGTCAGATCATTTGGGTTGGCTTTCATTTGATCGTCAATATTTGATTCAGCTTGTCGTGTTTATTGGCTGATTTAGCTTTTCTGGAAGTCTACTGACTGCTTTTTGTTGGACGAGTATCATGTGTACGATTACAGCTATCATGACTTATGATGATTTCACTTGTAAATTTCGCCAAATTTTATAAGGTAGCTATCTTCCAAGTTTCATTTTCTAGTGGATTCATCCCTACATCTTTGTCACATAGGCCTCTTATTCATAAATATGTTTCCGACAAGATTTTTTGGCGACAAAACGCATCTCAGTGAAGTCTTGGTTGGATTTAATTACCAACCTATGTTAGTAAAATTTCGTCGTCTGCTTTGTGAAGGAACTTCTCTTTTTATCTCTTCAGCCTTCGATATGCATTCATGCCAGCGGATTTATTGCCAATCTCTGCAAATTTGACAGCTCATGATGGATTTATTGGAGATTCGACGTACTCGGTCTATAATGGCCACAAACCAAGGGAAGCCTATCCTCAGCGAAGGCTTCGCTCTGCCACTATGCGTGGGCGTTACAATTATTTTCCTGATAATCCAGAATTTCGGCTGTACAGGTCTATGCACGTAATTTGCCATGACAAATGATAATGGTTGAAGATTTGGATGAGACTGTCCTTGGCCTTTACCAGTAACATTTCATGCATGTATTTTCCCTCTTATAAGGAAGTAAAGGAAAAGATTTTGTTATGTTTCAATTGATGTTTAGCTTTTGCCTCCCTCTAAGTTAAACAAATAAGAACCCTGTAGAAATGACGTGACTTGGAAATTTTCCAGCATAAATACTGTAAAGAAAGTTAATTTGGAGCAATGTGCAACCACAGTGGCTGCTTAAGTGACTTGCATTGCAGAGAAATAGAGCTAGGTAAGAAGCGGACTGCGAAGTTGGCGATTTTCTATTTGAATGGAGATTCTCCATGAGTGGAGCAAGCTTGAAAGGCGAAAGTTCGACGAAACTTGGCATGGATCTGTGTAATCATTTGGAGTAGAAGAAGGTAGTACGGTGAGTTTCCAAGGTGAGGTTCTTGGACTCTTGCTGTTAGCTCTTGGGGACTTCAAATAGTATCTGATAAAACTAAGTCTAGGAGATCTACTTCTGTTTGGAACAAAGCGGTCATAGGCCAGCTTGTAGTTTGCATGCCAGGACAATGGGAAGTCTCCCACAAATGACGATAGCGACAAATTTGTTTAGCACTTAAGTTTATCCCGTCTTTGATTCTGCTAATAAATTTATCTAGCACTCAGATGTTAGCTTATGCTCCTAGAAAATGGCAGATACCACAAGTTGGGGGAAATTGTCAAATCAGTCATAAACCTATTGTACAGCGGCCAATTCAGTCCTAAACCTTTTAATTTTGCCAATTCAGTCCTAAACCTTTCTAATTCTTGCCAATTCAGTCCTTCCGGTCAATTTTGGCCGGCCGGCGCTGACGTGGCCGTCGGCCGGCGCCGGCCATCCGACCAACGCTGACGTGGTAATTTTTTAATCTTTTTTTTTTCTAATTTCTTCCTCTGGCCGATCCGGCGACTGGCGGCCGGCCAGAGGGGAGGGCCGGCAAGGTCGACCTCGCCGCTGCTGAGGCGAGGCCGACCTCGCCGTCACGAACCAGGCGACGGCGAGGTCGGCCTCGCCGCTGCTGGGCCTCGCCTCGCCGTCGCCTGGTTCGCGACGGCGAGGTCGAGCCTTGCCAGATCTGGGCGAGGCTCGACCTCGCCGTCGCGACCCAGGCGTCGGCGAGGTCGACCTCGCCGGCCCTCCCCTCTGGCCGGCCGCCGGTCGCCGGACCGGCCAGAGGAAGAAATCAGAAAAAAAAAGATTAAAAAATTGAAAAAAAATAATAAAAAATTGCCACGTCAGCGTTGGCCGGACGGCCGGCGCCGGCCGGCGGCCACGTCAGCGCCGGCCGGCCAAAATTGGCCGGAAGGACTGAATTGGCAAGAATTAGAAAGGTTTAGGACTGAATTGGCAAAATTAAAAGGTTTAGGACTGAATTGGCCGCCGTACAATAAGTTTAGGACTGATTTGACAATTTTCCCCCACAAGTTGCGTGAGGTAGATCCACGAGCCTCAGAAAAAATTAGTGGGAAATTTTGGTTTCCCAATTTGCTGACTTGACCTCTAGCCTGGGCGTAGTCTTCCTTGTCCTTGATCTCCACGGGTTCCGACACCATTTAATCAAATCTAAGACTTCATGGTCCATGAGAACATAATGGTATTGTATAATTGTGAATCTATCGCGGAACTAATACGTCAGATACTTCCATGGGAATTGCAGTTTCACTTTGGTCGCAGCTATGTTGTGTAGAAATAGTTTAGAACCTCTTGGTTTGACTGAGGGAGGATATGCCAGAAAATGTTCGTATAAAAGGAAATGCCTTGTCGTTGAATTCCAGACAATTGGAAGTTTGGAACCGCGATATAGATCATTTACGTCGACCTTCATCGGTATCATCACTTTTGTGCTATTCTGCTAAACTGGTTTCAATGATGAAACGTACCTATTTTTGGTTGAATGGTGTGTTGGAGTAATCGGAAATCCTAAGTTATGAAACTTATTGTCACATTATTCTTTCGACAGATCCTCCAAAGTTATTTGCAAGGTAAGGTACGATAAAACAAAGTATGGATGTCCATGGTTGCTTCCATTCAATTTCTTTGTAGGATGATGACAAGCTTTTGTAAGTCACTTTTCTTGTTCCATCTCCCGTCCTCTTTCTATCCGCTGATTCATTTTGGACTAGTACCAACCCTCAAACTATATAAAAACCTTTTTCCAGTGTATTACCTTCCCCTCCGTAGCCATGGAGATCATAGCCGCGGCTACTGCTGAAATCACTAGATCATTTACCACCTTTGCCATCTCAAGAATCAAAGCCTTACTGAAGTTACACAGAAATGTCAAGACGCTCCAGGATGAAATGAAGAAGCTCACCGAGCATAAGAACAGCATCAGAGAAGACATTGAATTTGCTCAAAGAGAAGGGAAGTCTCCTACTTTACAAGTTAAAAAGTGGCTCCAGGATGTTGAGGAGCTTGAGCGTGACATGGACTCAATGCTCGATGATGGCCCTGTTAATTCCTCTGCTGATCCTGGCCGGAACATCTCCTTCCGATACCGCCAAAGCAGACGTGCAGTGAAGAGACTGAAAAGGGTTAAAGAATTGATCAGCTCATGCAATTTCCAAGTGATGTTAGCCAATAGGAAGTCTCCAAGTAAAGTTGTTCAGAGAATGGCAGCAGAATCTCTGGCAGGTCAAGAAGCAGCCCTGGAGACTCTGAAGAGGCTCATGGAATTCATAAATGACGACCATGTCAACAGGATCGCGGTTTGGGGAATGGGAGGCGTTGGGAAGACAACACTACTGGCGAACCTGAACAACATCTATGAATGTTCCTTGACTGAATCCTTCGATATAGTCATCTGGGTAACAGTTTCCAAGGACTCAGACTTGGTTACGATTCAGTCTCTAATTGCTGAGAGGCTGAACCTAGAGTTTGAGCCTGGAGAGAGTATGCAACGAAGGGCTAACAGGATCTACCAAAGACTGATGCTGCAAAGGACGTCCCTCCTTATTTTGGACGACGTCTGGGAGAAAATTGACTTGAAGGACGTGGGAGTCCCACACGGTGATGATCAAGCCAAGTGTAAGATCGTTCTGACCACTAGATCCTTCGATGTGTGTAGGGACATGATGACTGATGAAGCAATCAAGGTAGAAGTACTGAGGGAAGAAGCAGCTTGGGATTTGTTCATGCAAAGTGCCGGTGATGCTGCCAAGGTAAGTGACATCGAGCCTATTGCACAAGAAATCTGCAAAAGATGTTGTGGATTGCCTTTGGCCATTAAGACGGTGGGGAAGTCTATGAGAAGCAAGAGAATGATCGAGCTGTGGAAGGATACGCTCCGCCGGTTGAAGCTAGCGGTTCCTAGTGGGGGGAGCAGTATTGAGAAAGAAGTCTATTGGTCAATGAAGCTGAGTTATGACTTTTTGCCAAGTAAGATACATCAATCCTGCTTCCTATTTTGCTCTTTGTATCCAGGAAATTTCTCTATTAAAGAGAGCGAGCTGATACAATGTTGGATAGCGGATGGACTAATAGACAAACATCAAACAATCGAGGAATCCTTCAACAATGGGATTGCTATGATTGAAAATCTGAAGGATTCTTGCATGTTAGAGCAGGGAGATGGGATTGGAACTGTGAAGATGCACAATGTTTGGAGGGACATTGCTGTTTACATATCCTCAGTTGAGAAGGAAAGTGGGTTCTTCCCTCAGTCCAGAATGTCGATCTATGAATTGCCCGAGAAGTTGCAACATGCTAGGAGACGAATATCGCAAATGAACAGCAATATTCATGAGCTGCCTCCTCGGGTCCTGGGTTGCTCCAAGCTCACGGTTTTGTTCCTCCAAGGAAATCCTCTAAAGAAGATTCCGTATGGATTTATACACAAAATGAGGGCACTGAGGTACCTAAATTTGAGCTGCACTTTAATATGTTCATTGCCTCTTTCCCTTTTTCAGCTAAGTGAACTGCACACTCTTATTTTAAGAGACTGTCGGTATTTAGAAAATCTGCCTCCTCTTGGCGCTCTTTGCAAACTCGAAGTGCTAGATCTCTCTGGCACCCTATTGAGACAGCTGCCTATGGAAATGGACAGACTTGACTGTTTAAGAGTGTTACACTTAGCCGGCACCCGTCACTTAGAATATATCAAAGCCAGAACTTTCTCTGTTTTATCTAATCTCGAGGAGTTGGACATGTCATTCAGTGCTTATACCTGGGACATGGAACAAAATTTAGGAGGAGAAAGAGCGACGTTAGATGAGTTGGTTCTGCTGGAGAATCTTTCCAACCTCCAAATAAGGCTAGACACTGTCCAATGTCTTGTCCCATGTCGTAATTGGCTGGGAAGACTGAAAAGATTCAGGATATGGATTAGTCCGAGGATATGCGAATCAAGTTATTGTCCCATTCAGCAGGATGAGAAGAGGGCCATCCTTAGAGGTGTTGACCTTATGGTCCTGGAGAGAGGCCTCGAGGTATTATTGGACAACGTGAGTGCCCTGGACCTCATAAAGTGCGGTGGTATAAGTGAACTGACTGAAACAGTCAGCAAGATGAGTCTGCGTGGTCTGCAGAACTTGAAATCACTCAGCATAACAGGTTGTTCTTGGATTAAGGTGATCTTGAGCGGGGAGAAGATCCAGCACAATGTCTTGCCGAACTTAGAAAACTTGACATTGAGTCGTTTAGAGAAATTGGTGAAAATTGTCGATGGAATGATACCGAAAGGGTGCCTTGACAAATTAAAAACCATAGAGGTGGTTGACTGCCCGAAGCTGAAAAAACTAATCTCATACGCTTTTCTGCGCCGGCTCCGTAATCTCAACAAGATCAAGATTGAGGACTGCGAGAGAATGAAGAGTGTCATCTTGGGAAAACTGTCGGGTGGAGAACTTCCAAAACTAAGAGTTCTGGAGATGAGGGATCTGAAAAGTTTGAGGATGATATCTCCTGGAATGTCAGATTGGCCGTCTTTAGAGAGGATTGAGGTAAGCAACTGTCCCAAGCTGGATAGGCTTCCTTTCGCATTCCAAAATGGGTTTTCAATCAGAGAAATAAGGGGAGATTTGGAGTGGTGGAACAACATCAAATGGCCAAGTGATGACATTAAGATCAGCCTTCAGGAGAGGTTCCAGGTGTTCATTGCTACTCCATCAACAAGAGGATATAGGGAGGTAAAAAGAATTTCCTTACCTTAGCTTTGTCTGTTTCTGCTTCTAATCCACTACTACCTTGATATGGTGTCTCTCCCACTATTGTGATGTTTTTTTTTTTTTTATAATTCTGAAATACCATTTTCTTTAAAGGCCTGAAGAGGATGATGCAGCTGTTGCCAGTTCATTCATTCAGAGAGATTGGAGACAGTTTTGTAATAGTAAACATTGGCATTTCGCTTTGTAATGTTCTTCAACGAGCTCTAGGCCTATGAAAAGAATGCACAAGTGGGTGTGATATCGTCTGAAAGTTTTCGTTTCATCATAGAGAATAGTGTTGCTTGTAACCTATGCTTTTCTTACAGATTGTAATCGCACAAGGTTCCGAATGTTCTTCAATAAGACCGTCAACCAGATCATCTTATCGTCTCATGCTGTCATTCGCTTTTCTATGCATGTGTGTCCCTTCGGCAGTTGTCTTTCAGATATTGTCTTCGGAACAATACTTGTGAGAATAAAAAGCTGAAATGAACTTGAATCCACCATCTGTTTCCTAGAAAAAGCTGAAACATCCTCGACTCGGTCTTTCCATTTTTCTCCCTCTCTATCATATGAACCGTCCCCCAAGACACGGGGCTGCAGGTGGTAAACACCCATCAAATTTGATAAACGTGCTTTTTTTCTGTCGACAAACTAATGTCAAGTGTTGTAACCTTAGGAAGTGATCTAACAGGCGTCGATTTACCGTCACAGAGCAAGTTTTACCCGTCCACCCAGTTTCGATGTTTGCCACCAGGCATCCTACACGTGCCCTTTTTCTCTTACTTCTTCCGTGGCTTCCTTTTTGTCAAGAAATCAAGCACCGCATCCCAGTGGTCACCAACACAACATGATGAATGCAGTCTCGCACAACTGTGATTTCATCATTTACTGCCCAATCATCGTTTTTTCCGCTCCCTTTTTCATTAATACACTCCATTTCACAGTGTCTTGACCATTTTACCCTTTGTGGGTATTATGATTTTGGCATCCGAAGGTTCAAATTCGTTGCCCCTCCTTTCATTGGGTTTCTTTGCTTGTGGGTCTTACTCCTTTTTAGTTACTTCCTCTGTTCTCTCTGTGTGCATTCGCAATCCTTTTCCTCGTTGGCCAGCAACAATGAGAAACAAACTGAATAAATATACCGAGAACAATACACGAGACTTTGAATATCCTACCATCGATTGCTCCTAGTTTTAGTTTAAGTACAGCTCAAGAGACGACTGGCTAGGTGGCTTAGGTGTACCGAGGCAGACGCAAATCACCCCCCTCTGTTTTCACCTCCATTTCTATCTGCCCCCAACATGACCCGTGAATTGAAAAAAACCAACAACAACAACAATGAAATAGTCCGAGTTTGAATGGAAATAGTCTACTATAATTGCTTCATTGGTGATGATGAGGACTGTTGTGGAGAGCGGTGACAGAGCCCCGAATATAAGAGAGGGATGAGGGTCCCCATCCCATTGAGGGCAGCCCCCGAAGCCACACCCCAATTGCGAAAGCCTCTCCATACCCTGGCTAGGAGTCCACCTTCATCCCCAACATGGCAAGCCAACCACTCACGGTGTTTGGCGACGATCGGGGAAGAGGGGGCTCGGTGCGGGCTCGGAAAGGCGGGAGTAGAGAAGATGGAGGAGAGTGGTAGCGACGGGCCAGCAGCGGGAAAGAGAGTTTGTGGAAAGAAAGCTGGCAGATGGCGATGGTAGCGTTGAGTGATCGTGGTGATGCTCTAGTTAGTTTGATACAACGGGATTGTCTTCTTTTTCCTTAGCCTTCATTGTTTAACATTGCCATTACCATTGCCTAGACCTGTTAAATGGGTCTTCAAATCTATATATGATCCATTTAAAAAATAAATAGGTCATAAAATGTTAGTGGATGCTTTCTTTCCCTCCTTAGAGGTTCTGGATTCGAATTCCCGCTCGGTTCCGTAATTTAAGTGGGGGGCTCTGGCGGTGGGTTGTTGGGCTAGTCTCCCCCGAAGTATAGGCGCCCCGATTACTTGTGCGGGCTTGTCCCCGGGAAATGGTGGCGGATCTTCGGTTACCAAAAAAAAAAAAAAGGTCAATATAACTTTGAAAAACCCATCTTAAATAGGTCTTAAAGTTTTAAACTCATCATAAATGGATCTTAATGGGTTGAGTGTCAAACCCATTTCCAACCCACTCATTAAGCCCACCCTCTTTTTATAAAAATATATTTTTTTAAAATCGAATTTTTCTTTTCTTTTTTTTCTCTTTCTCTTTTCGTCCGGTGGCCGGCCACGGCAACGATCGGCCACAGGGGAGGAACGACCTTGCCACAGGTCGGCGAGGCCTCGGGCTCGCCGAAATCGGGCGAGCTCGGCCTCACCAATCTGACGAGACTCAAGGTCGCTGGCCTCAGACGAGCTCGAGCTCGGCCTCAGGCGAGGTAGAGCTCGCCTGAGGCCTCGATGATCTGGCAAGACTCGAGCGGACGAGCTCGACCTCACCAGATCTGACGAGGTTGAGCTCGCCCGAGGCTGGCGAGGCTCGACTCGTCGAAATCGGGCGAGGTCAAGGCTCGCTCGAGGCCGACGAGGCTCGGCTTAGCTCGCCGGAATCGAGCGAGCTTGAGCTTCGTCGGCCTCTGGCGAGCTCATCCTCGCTTGTGGCCGGACGCCGGCCGTCATCATGGCCAGCCACCGGCCAAAAATAAATTAAAAATTAAAAATAAAAATAAATTAAAAATTGGATTTTAAAAAATTAAAAAATATTAAATTTAAAAAAAATTAAAAATTGCATTGTATGAAAATGTTTTAGTAGTATAATTTTAAAAAAAGTCATAAGAAACAAGTTATCCTATATTGAGTTAAATATAGAAGTGTTTTAGCTATAGGATCATGTCAGGTATGGATTGGGTATGGATCGAGATATTTACATTACAAATAAATATGACATAAATAGGTTAATGGGTCAATTTGAATCGGATCATTTATGACTCGACCCAAACCCGACCCGACTCACATGTTTAACAGGTCTACCATTGCCTTGAGAATCGCCAAAAAGGGGCCTCCGCTACGTACAAAGAAAAGAAGAGAGGTAGGACCCGCAAGAAAAGAAAAAGGAAGAAACCAAATAAAATGAGGGGCACCGAATTTGAACCTTCGGATACAAAAGACGTGGGACCCACATAACAGTGTGAAAGGGAGCTATCAGCGAAAGAGGGAGTGAAAAAAGCGCGACTGTGTAAAAAACTCCAAAGAAACCAACACAACGCGACTACAAGAATTTGATGCATCAAGCAAAAGCAACTAAAAGAAGTGGTCGTCTATATATGTTACAACTGATTATATACTGTCAGTTATGTACAAAGTCTACTTAGAATTAGGAACCCACATACATACTATGTACAATTTCCTTCAGTCATTTGCCTGTGTCTTCCACAACCCACGAATATTAACAGCCAACAAGTCTCCCAGAGGAATAAAAGAATAGTTTCACACCTGCATATGAAGAAAAGTGAATACATAAAAGTCTGGAATTATCTGAGAAGCAGCAGCCACAGCAGCCACAAGAGAATTGATTCCAAGAATCAAAGTTTGCTATAACGGCGCCAATTGATAGACCCTGTTTTTTCCTAATCCATGATAGTACAGAAGAAACAAATAGTATCTCATTTAAGTGACGACCCAAATCAACTGCTTTTCTTGGCACGAGTGCTAGTATCCTAAGATTGATATTAATCTTTCACTAAAAGGCTAAGCTGATGAACATTAGCCTGAACCAAGGAGACTCATAAATTAGTTCACAAGAGTGTTATGTCCTAAAGTCAATGAAGCTACACGGTTAAGATAATAATATCCGTCAAAAATCTCTAACCACCATCGTTAAATCATTGTAAACAACCTTCGATAACCTAAGCATAGGAGTGATGTTTTACCTCTAATCAAGCTCATCGCCTTCATCTTCAAAATTATTCTCCATCCTCGAGCCTTCTTTGTTACTATATACATTTTCAAGAGGATCCTCCAATTTCATGCTCTCCCTTTTATTTACAGTCTCAGGCCCGGTCTCGGGATTCATGCTAACATTACTTACACTATTTACGGAATCCTTACTTTCTTTGGGCATCACGAGACCAGATAGAGCAGTCTCTTCAACACTATCCTGTTGTGCCACTGCAAAGTTTCTGCCGTTAAGGCTGCTCCTGCAAGAAAGCTTGCCTTTCTCTGACAGTGCAGACGTCTGATGCTGTACTCGTTCATTACTGTTGCTGCTTGAGTTAACCATTCTGAGTAAGAAAATCAAACTGTCAAAAAGCCTACCCCTCATGATAATTAGACAAAGCACCAACAAGATTATAAACTCTAAAAAGACGAGAAATGCACATGCCTCAAGAAGCTTTATGATACATCCATTCTGAAACAGATAACTGATAGTAACGCTAGCAAGTAATGCACACAAAGAAACATATAGAAAGGTTGAGATTGCAAAGTTTGGAAAAGAGAAAGAAAGTCAATGGAAACCTGGCATGTTGATTCTTGGACGTTTGAAGATAGTCAAAAACTGGAACCAAATCCTTTGACCTTGCTTCAATTAAGTGGGTTGAGATCTTTTCAATCTCGATCTCCCCTTCTGAAGCATTTTCTTCGTCTGATTTGAAGTCTTCTGCCGTCATTGACTGGAAGATGATCTGGCAAGATATTTAAGAGACCAACTACAAGTTACAACCTCAAAGCAAACGATAGAGCAAAAGTCGCAAAAAAATTCAGCAACAGCCAATCATCAAAATCCTGAAGGATGCACAGTACCCCGGGTTTAGCCCACAATGGTATCTGAGCTTGGTGCATCTGAAGTTCAGCTTCTGAAATATAAAAATGATGCTTTTCCTCAGAACTAATCCTTATCTTTGCGGCTGCATCTATTCCAACAACAGAATTGCAACTTCCCTTGATGATTCCTTCAGGATATATCTTCTTGCTATCTGCACTTCCATTCTCACCATATATGTCGAAGTTGTCTTCCCGTTCTCTCCTGGTATGTTTCTGACATATATTCCATTTCTGAATTGCCTCAACCACCATTCTTCCATCACAATCTACTGCTGATTCATATGCATTCCCCACCTCAGCCAGTGTTGACATGGAATCTAGTCCAGTTGATATTTGCAATGCATATTGTATCATACAACCGGAAGGGGAGAATACCAGTAGATGGTATTTAGCCTTTGAGGAATTTCGATCTGCATAAGAGTCGCTCCTCTTGCAAACGTAAAAGCATGAAGCAATAGCCCCTGGCAGGGAATGAAACCTGCCAGTTGCAACTGCGGCTGCGCCACTTACGGTGCCTCTCCATCCATTGTTTCCATTTCTTATTCTGCTTATAGCAGAGAGTGTAACTGGATTACCTGCCCCACAAATATTCTGTTGACTAGGCAGTTGTAAGTCTGCAGTAGGTGG